AGTGAAAAGTTTTTAAAGATTGCACTTAATTGCATTTAAATTCATCATATACGTCAGAAGAATGACAGCAGAAAATTAATATGTGCATTTATGAATTAGATTCGAAATATCTCAATTAAAATTCTGAAATGTGAAAATATAAAACAATCTTTAATTGAAATTATAATAATCAAAGTTACAAGGTGGATAGTCGAGTCTCGTATTTAATGTTTATTATTGATAATTGTATTTATATTTATTCTATTACATTCTTATTTGGATCCATGGAATGCTCTTTGAACGAATAAAATCTGGATTTTGAATAAACAATTGATAAATGATAGCATATTAACACATTTATACAACTTCAATATCGTGTAATATTTTTAGTCATTTCGTTAATTGTTTTTGAATTGTTTTTGAATGATACTTATCGAAAAAATTCAAAAATTTAGCAGAATAAATCAATCAAACACTGAATTGACGTCCATTGAATCCATCGTTTGTACGATTGTTTCTTTTGACATTATCATCATAATCCAAGAACGAGTTGAAGAAAATACAAGGAAAAATTAAACAAAACAAAATCAAAAAAAAAGAAGATCATTTGAATGATATTATGCATATAATATATGAAAGTTTACTTTAAAATAAAGAAATCTATGTTTTATAATGATCCATATATATTGTAAATTAAAGATCGCGGATCACGTCGATTAAAAGAGGATGAGAAGAGAAAAAAGAGAGATAGAAAATTGGTTTAATTGGATACAAGCCTACGAGCAACTCCGTCGAATTACTTGTCCGCTGGATAATTCACTCGACCCAAACATTCGACAACCTTTCAAGCCGATCGTTTAACGAACGATAATTCCTGTTTCATCCCGTGCTGTACATCGTGCAGGAAGTTATTGATCGAAAGGATGCTGGCAAATTGCGTTGATATATCGCTTAGGTAGTACAGCTTTTCTTCCCCGTCGGATCAGAGATTCCTGTTTGCTCGTCGGTGTTGGGCGCGGGGATAATTCTTGTGGGGAGAGTTATTGCCGGGGTTGCAAGAAGTATTAGATTTCTGGATATCGCGAAGAAGAATGGTTGGAAAAGGGTAGCGGTGATGGATAAGAGAAGATGAAGTCGTGAATTGTTCAGATACGTCCAACGATCGCTTCAAGATTTTCTCGTCCGTTAAATATTTTTCCTCTTTCGTGTCATATTTTTTTTTCCTTTTTATTCTTTGCTTATAATTTATTCGAATGTTTCCATAAGAAGATAGAAAATCAATATTCCTTTCGATTAGATCGAATCTTCCTCTCCGTTGTGAAATTTAAAATGTACGATCCATTAAATATTCAGAGATACATACAAAATTATCAAGATATAAATACTATAAACTTAAGGTAAAATTAAATATTCAGAGATACACACAAAATTATAAAGATATAAATACTACAAACTTAAAGTAAAATTAAATATTCAGATATACACACAAAATTATAAAGATATAAATATTACAAACTTAAAGTAAAATTAAATATTCAGAGATACATACAAAATTATAAAGATATAAATATTAAAAATTTAAGGTAAAATTAAATATTCAGAGATACACACAAAATTATAAAGATATAAATACTACAAATTTAAGATAAAATAATAAGATAAAAATAAACCTAAATTTTCTTCATCAAATACGATATTGTCTAATATAATTATATATGTTACAACAATTGCAATTTCTCATCAAAAACTATTTATTTTACCTTTTCATTTTATTTCAATATATTTATCCTAACATTTCCCAATGAAAAGCCAAGGTTTAATCTAATCTCAAAAGGCAGTCAAAAACTCAATGAAAAGATCCTAAGCCTTTAACAACGAAAAGTTGTTAAAATTCGAACGAAAGGTCGAATCTTAAAAGGCGAATTTAATCGCGAGAGGACGAAAATGGCGGCAACGAGGAAGCTCCGAATCTACTTAGAGGAATCGGCGGACAAATTTCCAGATCGACAGTTATACCGGATGTGATCGCTAGCCGGACAAAGGCCTTAGCTCGCCTATATTAGGTAGAGCGCGCCGGTTAGCCTCTCTGCCTGCCTACTTTCAGAAATTCTGCGCTAACGAGCGAGCAACAGGCACAGCGCTCCGCTCCGCTTTCCACCGTGGACATCGCTGCCCCATATCTGCCAAATTGTCGTGAGCCACCGCGTCCTTTTCTTTATTGGTCTTCTCTTTAGAATTTATCGAGCGCCGCTCTATTGTGCGCTTTCCATTCCGTTCGCTTAGAAGGAATTTTATTAATTTTCGAAATTTTCTCTTAAGGGATGAGAAGTCATATGTTATCATATTTTTGAATTCGAGTTGTGGATCTCGATTCTCTGTTCATCCCGTAGACTTAGATGACTTTTGTAAATTAGAATTTGAAATTTTTCAAAGTTTCAAAATTTCTTTATTTGCGATCTCGTGCACTCGGTTAGAAGTAAAAGCATTTCATTAGTAAATTGAAGAAATGGATGTGATATTGGATAATAAATTTGATGTAATGAATTAATGTTAATTAATGTTAAATACGTGTACGATAATTTTTATTATCAAATTTTTACGATCAATTTACTTATATTAACACAGTAATAATTAAGATTGTTTGTGAGCACAGAATACTCTGTTAAAATTATCTGCATGAATTATAAATCGTAAAATTTGAATTTGAAAAAGAAACAAGAAGGAATGATTTAATGAAAGTATCATGCTGATTGTATGTCTTTTTGTATGTTGCATTTTAGAATAAGCTTTGGACAGAGATAGCAATCTTATCTATCTTATCAGAAAACGAGTTGTATAATTTGATTATACATATACAAGTGTATATATATAATAGTGAAAATAGAAAAAAGTCTTTATATTTCTATATTGCGTAAAGAAATTGGAACACAATTTTTTAAAAACTATATATCAAAGTCCAATTTAAAAATTATTATTATTATTGTATCATATGTATCTTCTAATCTAAATTTTTCTATACGTCACGAAAATATGTCGAGTTCATCAATTGTATTAAAATTCTATAAGTTTATAAATAATATTAAGAAATTTGTTAACTCGATCAATATTATTTAAAATTATAAATATTTAATGATATCCTTGAATACTCTTTTCCCTCTTTACTTAAATATACAACAAATTAACAATACATTATTTTAAGTAAAAATAAAAATTTCCATGCCAAAAATGATTGAGAAACACTGCTTTGCACTCACAACAGCAGCAATTACCAAATCTTCGAAACTTTATTCATCACCTCGACCTTCCCCTCCGCGCGGGTGAAAGAGGCATGGTGTCGCGAGATTAGGTTATTTCGTCACGTCCTCCCCCCCGAGCTGCCCCTTTCCAGAGTCGAGTTTTAATTAACGTTTAGGAGCACGATTTCGACGCCTCTGCCAACAACACCCTCTCGAAACACCTCGTGCGACTGGCGTGGCCTGGCCCTCGACGTAAATAAATTAACCCTGAAGAGGACACGTGCCCTTTGACCCTCGAGATCGAAGACAGGCCGGTTACCCGCAACTACAGGGGTTATTAGGGATGATCGACCGACAAGGGTTCCCTTTCTTCCCTATGATAATCCTTACCTCCTCTCTGGGACAATTCTCTCTCGATTGTCTCCTTGTTTGAATGTCTCGAGCATATCTCTATCTCTAATGTTGCAAATATTGCAAGATTTGCGGGATATTGAAAGATTAAGATGGTTGAGTAATTATATTAGTTTTATGAATAACAGATTAATAGTTCGATACTGCAATAAATTAAAATACTTCTATTCGGATGATTTTCAAATATAGGAAAAATTAGAAGAAAATATAGAAGAAAATATATCATTTTGCTCGAGAAATAAAGTAATCTTATTTAAGATTAACTTAACTTTTTGTATACAAATTTTGTTTGAAAAAACTATGTTTTTCTTCTATGAATCGAATTAAATCCTGTTTAAGGAAACGGAAAATTGTATATAGCATACAAAATCTACAAGCTGCAACTGGTAATAAATATACATGGAATTCTTTTAATAAAAGAAAAACTTTGGAATTTCTGTATAACTTTTTAGTAAAGGTTAGATTATAGAAAATTAAAGAACTTTTATTATTTTATAATTGAACAGTTATACACGTTAAGCTCAAGCTCCATTTTTTAAAACATTGATTCTAAAGATTCCAAAGAGGTATCTCATTCACCAAATGAAAGCAACAAAAAGCCATAGAACTGTTCCAAAAATGGAGGATTCCAAATATAAGCTACCCCATTTCCATATGGCTCTTCAACCAATCCGAAACAAAAAGACAATTTCCTCTTTTATCTACGCTTTCATCGCCAATTAAATCGGTCATCGGTTATATAAATAGAAGCTCCTGTCATCCGCAAGTGGGATTTCGCAATTGGCCGCGAAACTGGATCCAGTCCAGCCATACTTGGACTCTCGTCAGCCATCAGACTGATTACTTTAATCGTTTCGCGGAACAATCCGTCCGCAGAGCTCTCTCACCTTTCCTGCTCCATCCGCACGACCAGATCCAGACTCAAGGAAGAAATTAACCCCTAAATCGATAACCCCAAAATTTTTGAGAAAATAAAGTTGTTAATGAACCTTTACCAAGTTTAATAATTTAATTTCATAAATTTAAATCTGATCACCTTGTTCGAATTATTAAATCGTAATTATCAAAAGAGAATTCTTTTATTTCTCTACTTATTATTTTTTAGAATTGTATAACTTTGATTTCTAACTTGTCGAATTATTATATATCATTAATTAATTATTTTAAATATAATCAGAATTTCAATCAGAACTAAAACGCTCAATTATCCTCAAATACCATTTGAAAGCAAGGGAGAAAAGTATTTTACGTATCTTGAAATTATACCTGAAAAACCTTCAAAAGGAGTAGAATTTCATTTCCAAAGAAATTAATCGATAAGAATGGACAGATGTATCTTTATATCTATCGAAGGAGTTATTGTTGTGCACTCACCATCTCAGAGGCGGCCGCCGACTTCACTTCCGCCAAAAGGGTCGCGGCCGGTGACAGATAAGTTTTGAGGAAGTTCTCCAAGTTGCCGTGATAAGCGCACACCAGGATGTCCCGGGCCTGCCTTATCAACAGATTGATAACGCCATCGCCGTAAATCGGGCCGAGCAAGTTCCGGACCAACGATGCGACGTCTCCGCGACCCTGCAACAGAGCGCTCCTTTCACGAGTCTGTTTACCAGGGGAAACGTTATTATGTATACCCGAGTGACGTGGAAGCCTTATCTGAAAACAGGATCGCGAGGATGGGGATGGAGAGGAGAGGCGAAGGTAAACGAAATTAATTTCGAGACAGGTAAAGGACTTATATACGAAACTTACTTGTGTGTTCCTCTTCTTCTAAATATTTATTATTGATATAAATTAAATTAAAATTAAATTAAATTTAATTAAAAATTATATTGCAGAATATCGCAATGGAATATTTAAAATACGTGTCGTCAAATTGTTTCGAGCAATTTTTTGGAAAAATATTTTTAACAGGGGATATTGCACTTTAAAATAAGAAATTTTTGAAATTGAATATGGACGTAAACTGTTCATACACAAGTTCATATATAGAGTGGATTGTGCTATTTAAATACTAAACTAATAAGATTAAATTAATTTCAATATGATGTGATGGGGCAACGTTTATAAATCTTATTTTTCGACGAGTATATTGTAATGGGACGCTATATATATGTGTCAGAGGATCAAAGGAGTATTGGTATATCCTTTGGAACAATTTTTTTAAAATTGGACTTGACTTTTTCTTTTTTGTAAACAGATTAATGTAAAAAAATTACAATTTGTTAAAATATTTAAAAATTCCATCGAAATTGGTTAACGTTGTTTATACAAACAATGCTTGAAGATAATGAAAATCGTGGTTCTTCAGATGTTACTTGTTTTACAAAAATTTATTCGTTAGATTTCATTAGAAAAGATAATCGGTTAACATGTTAAAATTGTGGATCAATGAACTTGTTTCTTCGTTCACACAACCGTCGTCGTTTATTCTATCGTTTATTTATAGTAATTATTAGATTCACTTATAAGTTATATTTCTCATACTGAATATCTCATATAAAAGTTTCATTAAAAAAAATAATACACACATTTGTTAAAATTCAAAGTTGAAGGGATTTCTTTTTTTCTTCGTTCTCACGGCAAGAATTATTATAAGAACATAGAATATATATCGCACGTGTGAGAATATTCATTATTAGATTTAATCAAACGAGAAAAAAATTTCTTAAAAATCATTTATCATAATCATTTTTAAGTAGTAAAACCCATATATTATTCTAAGAAGTTTAATTAATTTCCTTTTATTAATTTTCCGAGAATTTATAAAAAGATATAAAAGAATAATATTTAGAGAAATTAATTAGAGCTGGCGTAAATCAAGAACGAATTGGTGTTAAATCTGCCACGATAAAAAAAAAAATTTGACGTTGGATAACAAGTTTGGTAGCCGATAACTGTGCAACTCCTCCGTTCCTTGCAATTCTCCTTGAATTCAGGCCTAATCCAGGAACACGAAATTAATTTCAGAAAACAATTGATAATTGAATATACAATCCCCATTACCGCTAATGAACGGTATAATGGCTGGCAAAGGTCGAGATAGTTGCATTGTTAATATTCAACACTTATCACGGACGCAGCAGCACAATGCACGCGTTCTTATCTCCTTATTGTAGCCCCGTGATAAATGAACGAATACCAGAGAGATTATTATTACTACCTGGTGGTAGTGTGGGCAACCACAGGCCGAACTAGATTAATTCCACCAGATAGCCGATAATTAATTACATTGTTGCCACTTGTACGAAACTTACTTGTGCGTTCCTCTTCTTCTAAATATTTATATTTATTATTAAGATTGAAGAATATCGCAATGGAATGGGTTTAAAATATGTGTCGTCAAATGTTTCGAGTAATTTTTTGAAAAAATATTTTTAATAAGCTTCATATAGAGAGTGGATTGTGCAATTTAAATCAATATTAAATTAATAAAATTAAATTAATTTCAATATATATAAAAATTAGAATGTATAAAAATAAATGTGAAGTATTATCAAAGATTGTTCTTTTTCTTATCATCTTTGTATATCTTTATACAGTGCTGCTCCCATTAAAATCTTTTTACATTAAAAATAATTTTGCATGCATGTTTTGAAATTAAAACAGCGGATATATAAGATTGAATAAAACTACATTGGATCTGTGAATAAGTAGTCATCATTAAAGAAGATTAAAAGTACATTTCTTCTCCTTAAACGATAAAGCTATTTCAATTTTTGTTTCTTTTCATGAACATTGTTCTCTGAATTTGGCAAAATTCAAAGAATATTCGAAAACATTCTATTCAAGTGTCTCTTTAAAGTGTCCAATATACTCTCCAAAATATTTATAATCCATTTAAAATATAAACACAATTTATAATTAACATTTACATTATTGATTACACTCTAATCAATTTAACATCTTTCTGGGCATGATTATTGCAAATTTAATTATCTAATTATTTAATATTTAAATTAATAAATTTTGTTTATTTATATTATATTAAATTATAATTATTATTTAATAATTAGAAATTTCACCTAAAATCAAAAAATTTAACTTGAACTTGAAAGAACAACAAATAAATGATCAATCAGAAATAAAGGATATCAACAATTGTTTCGTTGAACAATTTTTTACCTCATTCGATATACTTATTTGAAGATTACATTTTCGAGATTTCTGATGTTAAAAAACCCTAATATGCAACACGATGCGGCGTGAATTCTTCGATTACGCAACAACTCGAGTTTCCGCGTTCCCAGAAGCGTTTCAACGTGAACTACGGTTCCGGAAAAGGGAAGCGCTCGAGAGGGACGACAACGACGAGGTAACGGTCCCAAGTCCTCTTCCATATTGTTATGGAATCATGGCTTACGCCATAAGAATCTGTTATCGACGTCGATCTCCCCCAACGGTGAGAACAAACAAGGGGGAATAAATTGAATTTTATGCCAGCACCCGTTCTGGACTTTCAATGAACTCTGGGAACTTGTTTTTCGGAGGGGGAGGGGGAGGAGTGAAGATTAATTCGATGAGCATCGACGCCTTCGTTCCTTCTTGTTTGTCTTCCCCGTCTTTATGGGGTGTATGCAAAGTGTATTGAAATTGGAACTGTTGATACTTCCGGTTAAGTTTGATTCGAATTTTTTTTTTTTTTTTTTCGTTTGTTCTTAATAATTCAATAATTATTAATTCGAACAAAAAAATTGATAGACGTGTATCAAGTCGAGTTGTTTGTTGTGAGTTGTTTTTATTGCTGAATCTTTACTTATAGTTGATTTATTATTAATGTACAATAAATACAGTAAATACAGTGATCACAAAAATATACATAAAATATAATTGTAGAGCAAATTTACCAGTAAACATCATGAAATCAATTTGATTTCGATGTAAGTACTTATCTCATCTGGTTCAATTTTTCTACAGAATATTATATTATCAATAAGGTTGAATTAGTAAGATTAAAGTAAGTTTTAAAAATAATAATATTTACAAAACAAATAAGGATAAACGAGGATTCATCCCTTGTCGTAAAAATTCTAAATTTAATAATTATAATTTCAAATAATACAGTAACAATTTTTTTCATTGTTTTACAGTTCAACTATATCCTTAATTGTCCCCAATAACAGGACTATAATTGAATACAAATCGCACATAATATTTTCAATATTATCATTTATAATATAAGATAAATAAATCTAACAAAGCCTGTTAAAACATCATTTCAAATTCCATAAGAAATTGAAAAATATAAATTTCTTTTAAGAAACATCGACACCATAAATCTCCTCCAAAAAAATCCCTTTAAATGCTCCTCACCTTTTTCTTTTCCTGCCGAAAACGACGAATCTTATCTCAAAATTATACAATAAAATCAAATGCAAAAATCTTCGTTCAACATTCCTTTCCCTCGCTTCATCGATGCGAATCGAGGCGATCCAGTCCGTCTTTTTCAACTCCAGACACACTTTTCGGTTATGGCCGACTTGGAGGGGAGCGGATACTGTTGCTATCCGCTGGAGGATCGCTCGGCCGGATCCCCAAAGGCCGGACAAGTGGCATGCGTCCTCCCGGCGGCGATGTGGGTGCATTATATCGGCGCGCATCGTTACACCGGGCTGCATAAACATTGTGGTTTAACGGCCGCTCGAGCGATGTAACCATTATACACGTGCTCGATCGCCCACGTGTTTCCGCCCCCATCCGCCTCGAGACGAGTCGAGTCTTTTCGAAAGATACGCGAGGAATGTAAAATTGGTCCGAGCGTAATTAGGATCAAGATTATAATTGGTGTAATCAATATGGAAAATAATCGATATTTTTGTGTCTAAACAATTTTTTTATTATTGAAAATAATAAAAAAGTAATAATTAAAAATAATAAAATAAAAAAGACGTTTCTTATTTTGCGCGTAATCGAAGTTGTCGCTCTTTCTTCGAATTCTGCAAATTTCGTAATCTCCTCCAAAAAAATCACCCCTTAAATCTAAGTTTTTAAATAGTCTGCAGAGAACGATGAATCTTTTCAAAATGAAAAATTCAAAATTATACAATAAAATCATGAATCAAATTTTCTTTTCCTCGCCTTTCGTCCGTTTTTATTGTTAGATAAGATAGGAATACATATATCAGTGGAATATTAATGAATAAAATGTTTTTACTATTATAACATATCAAAATGCAAAATGTATATGTGTATAAGTAAAATAAGGAAAATTGGGAAATATTCGTGAAAGAATGGACAATAGAGATCATTTGGAAATAAGAGAATGTTTACAAAAATATATGAGAATAGTAAAATAGATGAGGGTATAATAATAAGATATTTTATTTATGTACTATTTTCTTGTTAATTCACTGAGAATTTTAATTATCTATATTCTAAAAAATATATTTCATGTAACAGCTCCATTATAAACTTTCATATATGCACTTCTTTTGTGTAAATTATTATAATATTTTTCTCTTCGCAATTTTTGATTAATACAATAAAGCCATTTTACATTAGATCAAAATCTAAAATCAACGAATAATCAAATAAAAGAATTTTTAAATGTGTAAAAAAAAAAAAGTTTAATTTTA